CCCACCAGCAGGTGGATTAGCAGCATGCGTCATGGTAACGCGATATTTGTACCGATAGGCTTATACAACCTGCTACCGTAGAGATTTGAATAATTGGGCTATGTGCGATGTAGTCGAAGGCCCTGCTCTGGAAAAGGGGCGAGAGAAACCCCAACAGAGGATCCGTGAATGCTCAGCTCCTCCGAGACAAAATACTAAAGGGTGCTAAAACTCCGTGCAGGGTGCAACTCCAACGGCCTAAATTAGTGCTTAGTCCAATTATTCGGGTTTCTACGCTTGCTGCTGATAGATATTATTAAACCGGGTATACCTACACCGGTAGCAAAATACGGGTACCGCCCAATTCCACTCCGGGGGATCACACTTGAGTAAGACAGCTGATATTCGAGCCATCCAGGACCGTTAAAGTACTCATACCGGTACAACACATTCAGATACAACCCCTCCCACCCACACGCGATCTTCACGCCCAACACTGAATAACAAAAATGAGGCATTTTTTCTAGCGGTTTTTCTTGTTTACGGTACTCAAGATACAATATCCAATACCCACATCTCTTGGTTCAATTAGCTCCCATCGATATCGGTTCTAGAGGGGGTACTATACGGTACTCAGGCACCCAAAAGTACCACCAAACCCAGCATGCGTGGCGACGGAGCGAGTCCGTCAGTAGAACGCATGCTCCAGGAACCACGATTGAATCATTATGCTGATATTTTGCCCCACCCCAGCTCGGGCACTTCCATAGTCACAGCCCTTACACGCACCCGTACCACACCTAGGAGTGGAGTACCGTACCGCTTGGACCAAGACATACATACGGAGTATCATTTCCCATTGAGTGAGCAAACAGAGACACTTCAGGGCCTACAGGAGTCTCTCCGTGTTGGTCGGTCCATACGAGGTGTAATGTAAGATCTAATGCAAGATATGTGGTGCCATACTAAACTAGTACTCGGAGGGAAGAGAGTAAGGACTAGTCCAACCCCCAGGCGGGGGCTATGGGGACGAGTTATATATACCTACCATAGTACGATATTGATGGTGAGTGGATCGTGATAGGTTCCCCGCAAATTATGTGGCTATGCACTTGTGATATGCTACTGGGTTTAGGCGGTTTGATGTTTACCCGAGAACAGTTTTGTATACGGGTAGTAAAAATACGATCCTTGCCTTGTTACTGTACGAGTACCTTGCTATCGCGATATCGGGACATTTGTTCCGAGGTGGATCAAGGAGCACGGGGTCATTCAGCCCCCATGATGCAATCTACAGGCGCGAAAACCCCTACTCTTCGATCTGGCCGTTGGAGGACGCCTCTCGATGGCCCAAGATGCCAGCACTACGGTACTCGAGTATACCGTACCCGAGTACAGTAAGTGCAACCACTTAAACTCGAAAGCTGTACTCGTACCATACCAGAATACCCACGAGGCTTGTAGTCTCGCAAGAGCGAGGGTACAGTGTATTCACCGACATTTCCCTCAGGAAATTGGGAAAAGAGTCGCAATAACGCTATCCACAGGGTATCTTTTCGTCAATCTCTTGGTGACCGCCTCCAGCTTACTCTAGCGACGGTCTCCGACGCTCACACCCGGAGTTCCTAAAAAATTATCAGTACCAAGACTTAGAAGAATTATTAGTGGAGCCTTCGCATTATAGCTTGCTTTGAGATGTAATCACCGGCTACATTTACGTCTCTGAAACAGCTGATGGCATGTTGCACAAGACATGCCCCATGCGTATACGAGTGCCCGTACCCATAAATTTACGTTGAATACAATCATAGAATCTAGTTAGCTCAGATCCATCCGCAGGGAGCGTACCGGTACGAGTACTTGTACTCGAGTAGTGTATTATCTGAAGTAAGCGATGTAAGGGGTGACCCGACTACCTTTCTAGAAAAGGAGATCGATCGCATAACCCTAATTTAGACCCATCGCACTGAACTTATTGAGCACCATCCGAGGGCGGGATAATCAATTCGCTCCATAGCCAACGCAAAGCGTTGCCCCCTGAAAATTAAATCCATGAGCGCATCAATAACTCCCCGACACCGTTGGTACTTGTACTCGAGTAGCGGGTATGGCGAAACGATTGGCTGCCGGGTCCGTTCTCAAAACCATCAAAAATACCGTTGAATAGGTAGAGTAAAAATTATCCGTTTCCTTGCGCGACCCGGGCAGCCGGTACAAATTTTTCAGCTGCTCAGGCCGGGGCGCTGAGCCAATGGTAACGTAACCTTACCACAGAACGAAACAAACTTCCCCCCCGTAGAGGAGACCAGACCGACGACGTGCATGTGATGGGCGAAATGTTCTAAGCCTTGCCAAAGTAGTGGTAGAATGGAGAAAGAATGGAGGGGAGGAGGAAGGTAGCGAAAGTTTTGCGATATACGAGGGTAATATATAACGAAGGTTTAACTACCGCAGCAAGTGAGCGAGATTGAATTTTCCCCCACAGGAACCGAATTCAGCAGGGGAAAGATCGAAAACGACAAAAGGAGCATGAAAGCTTGTTAGAAAACAAGGTATGATACCGGTATACCAGTAGAGAACCGGGCCAAAAAAAAAACTCTTCCAACGGGAGAATTTGTTCCTGAAGGCACCATCTAGAAGAATCTACTTCCTCCGGCTCCTTCCATCCGCTCCCCCCGCTTGGACAGGGAGGGGGGGGAAAGGGTTTATTTCACAACTACCTAGAGGGGTAAAATCCCTAATACCGGTAACCTTATGCCACTATCGGCCATCTCCCACAGAGTGAACCAGAGAAAGGTTTTTTTGCTCGCCGGTCCCGTTAGATTTAGAATTTTACGTACCACTGCTACCGAAATCTTAGCATGAGGGGGGCCCCTGAATTAGACTTTTGGTGTGTGCCTAAGCAGAGGGATATCTCCCGCGGTTACACAACGGGTGCTCCAGAATATATTCATAAGGTAAGGTTGGTGCCAGTAGAAAGAAGCCCGTTCTGTTGCATCTACCAGTGGTATGATAGAAGGGGTGAAAAGAATAATTTAGGCATAGGGTTTTACTACCGAACATTTTTCGCATCAGTTTCGCCAATCTGGAAGTGGAATGCAAGGAGTTATCATAGTGGTTCGTCTACATTAATACCCCGCCTCCTTGCGGCCCCACCCTGCAGCCCTACCCAGCGCCACCGATTGGTCTGGCGGGCACTGGATTACCGGGACCGAAACCTAACTTAGCGGGAGCCCTAATCTAGCACCGTAAGAAGATACGAGTATGATACGAGTAAATGTGCTAGGACGTTAGAATCCCCCTGCTCGGCTACTAGAGGGGAAAACCCCGCAAGCTCAGTCCTCAGCTAAGACAAAACCAGAGGAGTATACAAAGTGCACAGCGCCCACCAAGAGATGCAACTCCAACGTCAGAGTATATCTACCTTCTATCGGTACTTGGTTTTTACGACAGTCAAACATACCCGGGTGCTGTAGAGCACCAGGCACGTACTTTTCGGGATAATATCTCATTAAAGTGGAACTCTAGGGCTGGGGCATATGTATCTGGCCTGAAGACTACACGCCACGCCAAATTATTTGGAGACCCCAGGGCAAGTATCATCCAACAAGGACATGGATTTGATCGCTTCCCGATTGAAAGTTTTTGTTGTTAAATCTTTTTCCTTTTGCTAGATGCTACTACCGGTAGTTGATACTCATTCGCCTTTGTATGATACAAGTTCAGCATCGCCAACTTAGGGTAGCACCGAATACAGAAAAGGGGGGAAAACGTGAAAACCGAGAAGTAAAATTTGTCCAGTGAGCTCACGGTCCGGAAGGCGTAGTATATAGCGACATCCAGGGTCCCTACCCCCCCCGAGACCAAACCGAGTGAGTGCTCCTATCCAAACCACCAGGAGTACCAAGCAAGGGAGTAAAGTCCTCCACCCACTCCATTCACGACTCGCGAGCACACGGAACATTATCCTCAGCCGAAAGCATGCTCAGCAGTCTAACGGTGTTACTCTTCGCTTCCCTGCCTCATGCTAACGTGAAGGATAATCCATATAGAAATGGGACTCCCGAACCCCCACCCCGAGAGTTGAGGATACCCGTGGCCGCTCACTATTCCCCGCGATACTTAACCGGGGCCTCGAGAGAAAAAAAGTACTTGGACAGGAAACGTATAAACACACTCCACGACCTGGCTTCTCGGGAACACCTTTTCGCTGCTCTATAGAGAGAAGAAATTGTTTGGATGAGAGGTGGGTAATTTTGAAGACCGTACAAAATTAAGGCCAAATCAAGATAAGGTACTGTAGCCTTATTACTCGCAAAGTCTAACCCATATCCACAAGCAATCCGAATTAGTAAATGGATAAATTCTTGAGTCTTTCTCCAGGAAAGCCCGCCTCTAAGTAACAACATGCTAGAGAGGGAGATAGTCAATACCATATTAGAGCCTCGACGATACACAAATCTGTGGGGGCCCAGATTTTCCGCAATAACTCTTCTGCCTAAGGTCCCTCATCTCCGCATCACGGAACTACAAAAGGCCCCGTAAACAAGAAAAGAGGCTGAAGTGGGAGAGGAGGGTTGGCAGCGCTCCTCCTAGCACCACACCGCTCTGCTACGGAGCAAGGGTGGGTGGGTGGGGGGCAATCACATACCGGTGCCCGTCCCAGGCAATTTCATTGTGGGTAAATTTACCGTACGGTACAGTACTCTCGAATGCCGGCAGAAGTGTCCCTTCTGCTAGCCAACAGTACTTGTACAAGTACGAGTACTCGAGTACAGCACCAGTACGCCTCGCCTCGGTGGACGGTATGATTAGCAATGCAGGATGCTAATCCTAGAGTGGTGTACCGCCATCGGGGGGCAGGAGCACAAGTAATTTACCACGGCAGTGACATGCATGCATGCCGAGACATATCAGCCCCATGCGAACAATAGATACCGGTAACACACAGTACCTACCCTACATGCGAAGAACTATGACAACCCCTGACTGCCCCAGCTCAGGGTGCCCTGAACCTAACCATCCTTGAGAACGAGAGAAAGCCTTACCGGTCCCACATCTAGAGTACGGTACCAGTACGGTGCTCTAACGGAGAACACTAAGGATCCGGTGATGACCACCATGAGCGAGATGAGAATGATGACAATTACGATACCCAGTTCCACTCGCGAAGCCACGGCGGCCCATGGCTGGCGAGGCTTCGCACCCCAACCTAGCTCTTCAGTGCCGGAGTCTATGAGTATATAAGGTCGGGTGTCCTGTCGCGATCCTCCAACCTCATCCCCATCGACCAGATCAGATCAGACGGTTCGGATATTCTCCTCAATCCACTTCAGTGTCAGCCTTCGCTCAAACTCTCCATAAGCTTTACTTCGCTTCCGACAAAAACAACCAGACCATCAAAATGAAGTTCTCCAGTGTTCTCCTTTTCGCCTCTTCCCTTGTCGGCGCCCTCGCTGCTCCGGCTGCTTCCAGAAGCCGTGTCTTCCACCTCAAGACCGCCAACAGCCCTAACAGCGATCTGAACGGCGCCCTGGTCAAGAACATTGGCAATCATGCCTCCCTCGGAACCGGTGGGGTGGATGTCAGGGCTTACTTCGCCGACGACGGCAGCCGCAGACTCATCGTCAACGGGCTCGATGGTACCGAGGACAACGCTTACCTGATCCCTACGACTCCCGGTTCTGCTATTTCCAACTTTGTCTTCGCAGATGCTGCTATTAGTGAGGTAGGATTTGAAATGCCATCCATGTCATGTTAGGGATAGTTCGCTGACTTTAATACTATCATAGTCCCGCTCCACCGAGTGGGGTATTACCAACGGTAAACTAGTATATGGATCCGAGGACCGTTTCTATGCTTTCCCTACCACTAATGGATGGGAGGTTAGTAGCTCCCTCTCCTTCCACATATCGCACGGCCCAATCAATACTAACAATTTCCAGATCCGCTGGGTCGATGCGGGTACTATCATCACCGCGGACTCTTTCACAATCGACCTTGCCATCGAATACCTTAATTAAGCCAGGCAAACCCTCGCAAACCCACCGGCAATAGATCGATCATCGCTCGATGGCAACAATATTTCTGGTACGATACTGAACGATATACGCGTAAGCGGTTAATGGTAATGGCGGGGGGTGATTGTACGAGTCTGGATTAGTGTATGGAGGGCGGGAATCTGATTACGAAAGCAAATAGGAAGGAAACGCATCTCTAGACTTTTATTTTAGAATTGATACGATACTCAGTTGTTAATTGGCGCTATCACCTTTAACAGCAGTTCTGCGCGATGTGGAGCGTGATATGACGTTTCTGTGACAGTGCGAACCGGGATCGTCGGATGGGATGTTAGTTTAAGAAGGAACGAAGGGATTCTTGCTTCGAACTGCCGTAACCTGACGGTCGGAAGTTACAAATCATCGGTGGCAATCAATTCTGCGCTATAACGAAAACGGCATGGCATTCCCTACAGAACCCCGAGCCTTTTCCTTGCCATGTTTCCAGCCAGAAAAAAACATCCAATACCGTACCCGTCGTCAAACAAGCCCCAAGTCTCAGCGTAGACCCTTCGCCTGTTCTTAACCGTTCTAACTCGTTTTGCCCCTGCTCAATGAGTTTATCGCCCCCTCTGGCGAGCCCTACATCCTGGGCAAACACGGGCCGGATGAATTCACCCACGATCACTCGCCTCAGTGAAGACGGGGATCACAGACAGACGACGATATCCCCTACTATAGATACCGTGCATAGTTCTAAGGAGGTCGATTACTGTGTGCTGCGAAGGGAGTTCTGAAGGCCTAGCGGGTGGCCTCAGCCCATGGGTCAAGCGTTGGTTTTTATCGCAATGATTCCCTTAAAGCTGTACCCTCCAGTAAAATTCTGCTGCAGGTTCTTGGAGGGGGTCTTTCAAGCTGATAGCTCCAGAACGGGTCATGTGGTTGGTATGTGTTGGAATTGTAATCTAAGTCACCTGTACTCGTATCCCTTTAGCGGTACTGATTTCCTTTTGAGGTACAGTACGTTACTATGCTGTACATCTTCCCCCCCTTGCTTCTCGCCCCTACCCGTAGCAACGCTCGTGCAGTTTAGTAAGGTGTGAACAATTTCCTATACAGCCGGGGCTACGGGTCCCGGTGGTTTGGCTAGCCTGCGCACGTAGCTTAACGTACTTTCAGAAGTTGACATGCCAGTGACATCTACCGCACAACTGTCGAATGAGAAGGTCTTAAGGTGGTGAATGGCATGACCCCTAGTGTTTTCCTTTTTTCTTTCTCTCTTTTCTCCCGAGTAACAAGTAACTAGCACTAGGATCTAGGGTTTTAATAAGAACCCTGTACCGTGAAAAGAGCTAAAGGAGGAAGCGTTAGCAATGAAGGCTAAGCCCGGCCGAACTTGAAGAGGCTATGAATTAGATGATCTACATATATAGTCCTAAGTTACATAAGGTCGCACAATATGATACATATCTCCCCGGACAACCGCCAACCGACGGATCCTCCAGAGACGATAATGAATGAGTGAAATGCATGGGAGCACACTAGTAATGATAGTAACTTGGTAGAAGCTCTAGGAAAGCACACAAATAATCCATCATCTTGCGCACCCCACAATTACTCTAAACAAGGTGGATACTACTATTACGGAAGCCAATCTCTGCCTAGTTCCTTATGGAGAATTACGTGGAAGAAAGCAAGCTAAACGCTCGACTCCTAATGGTAGTCGGTATCAAGCATAGGCCCATGTCCTATACCTACTGTATCGGATGTTAAAACAAGCTTTTAATAACTCTGCTCCCGATCAGCACATCTCAAGTTAGCATGCCTACAGCACGCAATCCCCATAACCTTATTTCCCATAGGGTGCCCAAAATCGATCTCTGGACCCGAAGCTCAGGGACTAACTTGTAAAAACCCCGGAACGGGTAAATCCTTGGGAATAGCCTTGCACTGTTTTTCTCCAGTTATTATAACGGGCAATTTCGACATTCCCGAGTTTTCAGGGGATCTCGGTGTTAATGCAAGGCAAACATGGGCTATGTTGGTGCATGCCGTGTCAAGCTCTCTAGCACTAGAGAAAACAAACGGAACTTAGTATGGGCGGAACATGCCGGGCCCACTTGAGATTTTCAAATTGATATCACGCTCACTCATTACTCTGCCTTAGTTTAATGGCCTAGTTTTTGGAATTTCTGTATTGTGGATGAGATTGATTCTAGGGGGGGGAGATTTTTTTCCCAACGGCCCAGTTCGTCGGTCGCAGAGGTCGGGGGGGGGACCCACCATGGCTCATAGCCAGTCCTCCTCTGGGTGCCCGGGCGTCCTAACGACAGATTATACACTTCGATGACCCACACTAGGAAAAGATACCTCTCACGGCGACACGCCGCTTTATTTATTCACCACCCTGAATGCTCACCCCGGCCATATGCCCATTTAGCCAGGTCTCCTAATATCTCACTCCCCTCGATAAATGTTTCACCACGCTATAGAGTTGGGGATATGGCTGGTGGTCCAATAACCCTCCCTTGGATTCTGAACCGCAGCCAAATTTATTATCCGAGGTGCCGATAAAGCACGAAAAAGTTTGTTCCGGAACAGAAGGCATATTCACAAGTTTAAACTTGGGTATTCCCTCCTGGTTAACCCATTCAGCTTTGCTGTTCAGTCTCCAGAACAGATAAGGGTAGAGGTGAGGTCACGAAACACCACACATGCCGTCCTAAATCTCCCCCGGCGGCCCTTACCATCATCTGTAGTCCTTCATCTACCCCTGGAAGCTTGTCTCACTCTTTAGTGTTCACCGGGTGGGCCAAAGATAGCCGTCATGAGATATCACCGCCCAGGGGGACCGCTAGGGGCCCTCTAATCTAGTCCGAGACAAAAGCCCTAGTAATCCAGTTAGTTTCCTGAGGTTTGGGTGGGTAATTTCGGAGACGCTTGGTTTTGGTTGGGTTAGGTTTGGTCCGGGCGGTTCAAGTGCCCCCTAGGATAAACCTCCAGCGCGACTTATTCGGGCGTCTACTCCACGGGGTGAAGTAGCTAAAACCAGCCCACCCTCCTTGCCTAGTTAAAGCCGGGTATTTAAAGTGGCGATTCCCACACAAAATCTCCAGCTTCACCTCAGCCGTGACAGTATTATATTTCCTCTGAAAGTCTTCCTTATTGCAACGTCAGATGGGACAAATCTATCTATCTCGTCTAACTTGGAGATTCCATCTGGTATGGAGGGTAAAGTTGGTGAAGCAGGTAGTCGAAGCCTCCCTATCTGGAATACAAGAAGACGCCCTCAGGGGCAGAACGTCAACGTTTAGATTAGGGGTGTATTGTGTGTTGAGATCCGGTGATCCTATCCCGGAGATGCTCGGGAGTGACGGGCTTGCGCATCTCCGAACGAGAGATCCGCATCCGAGTGCTCATCCCAAGCCATGCTTTCTCCTCGCGGGCCTTCCCGAACGGTAGAGTACAGGATCTAGCCAGGATTTCAGATCACTTGTCTGGGGCAGGAGAAGGATTAGAGCCCTGGGAGCATTAAAAAGTAGGTATAATCGCTGAGATATAGAGACATTCTCGTTCGCCTAGGGTGATGCTATGGATAGTTAAAAGGGATGTTTCATTACATGTTGAACTTACCCAGCTTGGGACCTTCTAGAATGCAATCTGATTAGAGATATTGGCTGATTGGAGTTCTGGGTGAGGGGTAGGAGCGGTGTTGATGCGTAGGTTACTTCTTTTTTCATTCGAGTGTTTCCATACAGTCATGAATGATACAAGTGACGGAGTCCCATAACTGTCTTTCAACCGCTCCCGAGGTGGAATTCAAAGTTATGAGCTAACTTACAGCCATTGGGGGGTGCGTATGGCGGACAGCAATGGGCTGGACATAGAGCACCAGTAGTGACTAGATTCCCCAATCAGAATTGAGCATTACCAAACAGCCTGCACCCTTGCAGTCAAGTCACTCTTTAACTGACAGTATTTACGAAATACGGAGGATTTCATACAGCGTTATCGTGTAATAACTCCCTTCGTGCCACCAAAGGATTAGGCTCAAGGTGCCTGACATTGATACTAGAGAAAGGCATCAGCAGATCCTGCCTAGGCAGGTTCACCATGACACTACCAAACTCTGCACTTTCCGCCCAAACGATTTACCTCAATTCCATATTCAACGTTGTGAATTCCCACCGGTAAACCATGCACAGTAACCCCGCCCCCTGTGTGATCCCGGATAACCCCTTCACTCCGAAGGATGGGAACAGAGAATCCTAAAAACGTCTTCTCAAATTTATTTCTACCTAATAAACCCGGACCCACAATCAAACTCTATATGGAACCTTTCGCCAACTCCTTCAGATTGGGTTCAACTCATTCACCCCCCTAGCGGATATCAGTCCGAGCCTTTCGGGACCGTTGTTTTGCAAGATATCTTTAAATAGTGCTTAGGCTACGAGGAATGAGTCTCCTACTTGGACCCTACACCCCGAAATCTCCGCGGGAGGACTAGTTCGCTATCCGTTTGTTTGTTCTACCTGGGCTCTTGAGATAAGGGGTTGGGGCCTTAACAGCGAAGATGAAAGTTCCTAAAATCATCTCGTGATTCCCACTACCCCCCTGAATTCGAGTGATAATATATGTCCTGCTTGTCACCTGGCTTGCTCTCTTCCGAGGCATTTCTGGATAATACCATGTGAACCCACACTACCGCTCCCAGAGCACAAACTACTAACTCCACTGTTGTTAGCTCGGAAGCAAGATACCCCCTGTCGGACGTTATTTGTGCTCTTGTTACATGTGATTGGGTTCGCTACTGCAAGTCCTCGGAGTATCTGAAACGCGTAGATATAGTGGTAGAATCCCCTATGGACCTCCACCTAAGGGCATTACGTTCCCCCTTCCGCTGACTACATCTCTCACCCTTCGATCCATCCATAGCTACACATAAAACCCCCACTGTAACTCTCCAACCTCCACCTATAGTGTCGTCCTATAGGAGGAGTCTCCGAGACCTCCATAGTGCAAGTCCCCAGCTCGGCGCAAATCCCAGAAGCACAGGCACAACTGCAAATGATGGCGAGTTATATCTTAAGAGATTTATCTGTTGGGGAACACGGCTTGATACTCTCTCATATCCCAGTCTAGAAAGCCGGATGTCCCTCTCAACTGCACTTTCCAGATTCCCCACGAACGGGTAGGTTTCGGCACATTGTGTATCGTAAATACTAACACCTCTTTCAAATACTCCCTCGTAGAGTAATAGAACCAGAAAGTTTCATAATCACGCTTCGTAACAAAAGTTCCAAGAGAACACCGGTAATTCCTATCGAACTAGCATTTTTATATTGCCCCTCAGGCAAACCCTTGTATGAGCTTATTGCTCGTACTGCGTTTCCTTCTCTCGAAGGCCCCCTGTAAAATGATAGCGCTGTGCTATCCGTTGCCAACAAATCCACCCGAGCATTGATATCTCTAGCCCAACAAAAAAAAGGTCCCGTTTTTAAAACTATTGTTGAGAAACGGGGGCTGTGGTTTCTTGCCTTAATATGGGAAGTCAGCGCTTCCGGTGTGTTGTCCCTCGTTTCTGGCTGCCAGGGCGTTGTGGCAGTGCTATGATGCTTTGCGCCATCTCCTAGAAAAGTAAGTATTCTCGATATACAGTAGCAGCAAGGAGGAGGTTGGGGTGAGGGCCCCAGAGGCACGGGAATGGAAGGTCTGTGTGAACTGGCAATGAGGTGAAAGGCCTCCGAGCTCCGGAGTTTAACGCTGTCGCTAGGGGGCCCCAGGGCGGTACTGGATCAATCTGTTGTTGTTGTATGATAGCGGCATATAAGGCTTCTAGTATAGTAAGGGCAGGGAATTACCCCGGATCCCCACTTCACCCCGAACTTATCCCACGTGGCTGGCGCTGATCACCCCCACTCGGCACATCCTCCGAGACCGTTTTATCGCTAAACTTTGTGATAAATCTACCGTGCCACCACCCGCCCCATAAGCGACGCCAACGGCATGACAAATCGCGAGACATTCGCTACTCCCAGCCTCCAGCTTTCCATTATCATACCACTAAGCATTGTGACAAGGGCTGATGCCCCCGTGCCCATCTTCTACCCCCAAATCACCATGTTTGCCATTCTAGGTATAGGTGAACTAACCCAATACCCCAAAAGAGCTACATTTTCCCCCTATCCAGAGGAAGTAAGCACCGCTGTTCCAGTTCGCCGTCGTTCCCTGATATCCCCTTCAGGGGCCTGTCGGCAGTGTGCCTAACCCGGGTATAAAAGCTTTGTGGAATACTCCATTAGTGGGTCGGTTCGTTCGCTTAGTACATTACCAAGATTCTGCGTATCCGTTAGCAACCAACCGGTTCATATGATTTGATGGGCTGCAGCTCTTTACGCGGGTTGTTCAAATGGACTAAGGATTGATTACGGCATATTAGAAACCACAGGCGAAGCCACAAAAATAGACATCAGTGAGACCTTTAGGCGATGTCCCGAGGCACCCGGCAGACCAATACCATAATCTCTCAGACTATACAATTCAACCCAAGCCCTGAGAACTTCAACAAAAAGGAGAAAAAAAACCCCCCAACACCCTAGTGGTGCGTCCTCCCCATCCCCCCCTCTTCTCTCCTCGCTCACTCATTAGCCCAAAAAACCCTCCCTCCATCAGATATTTTTAGTCCTAAAAGTAACAGCGCGAGTGATGCCTCATGTGTCCACACGTGACCTCGCCTGCCGCACCCGCCGTCACTCGCGGCGGGCTGTGCAAACCCCTTCTCCCTCGGTGCGCGCTTAACTCCTGGTGAACAGGGGGCAACAAAACAAAACAGAAAACCGGAAAAACACAAACGTAAATGCAAATACAAAATACAAAATACAAACTTCACCTGGCCCGGCGAAGGTGGATGTTCGCTAACGCAGTGGTGAGGTCTAGTAACGACTGGGCCTCGAAAAGCAGCCATCCAGCTGCGAACAAAGTAACATCATAGTAAGAATAAAACATCACGATCCAGTGATCCGTCGCAGACCATTTCCTCCGGACGTCAATGCTGCGCTATCCTCGATGGTCTATCGGTCGAGTGATTTGGGCAACCTATGTTCCCGTATTTCTCATCCAGCTCCTCCCCAACCACTCCCCACTTCAACACGTCAGGAGTTTTCCGTCTATTTGTTTGTTTACCCTCTTGTTAAACGTTTCCCTATTTTTGCGCATATCAAATTTAAAGGGTAAGTAGCGAAAGGGTGGTGCTTAATGCCCTGAAAGACCGATGGTTACACCATCAGGTTTGAGCTGGGGGTCTAATGCCTTGCTTAATGCTCTTTTGGTAACCTAAATATTAACGCTGTCATGACTACTACTTTTCTTGGCCCAAGGGGGTGGCACTCTTCTTTGGCCCGGCCTTAGGTTTTTTATTGACGGGTATTTTCTCTTCTTAAAAAAAAAAAATCCCTTAGGCTATGATGAGCTCAGCTGTGCTTGCATCTTAATTTAACAGGACGGAGTAACTGACGGTCAGACTGGACCGGAACTGCTGGGTAACCAAGTTGAATGTGGGAAACCAGAGTTAGATATACGATGGCGGGGGTTATTCCCATGGGTCTCATGTCTCACCTCACACATCCGGTCCTTGGAGATTGATTTTAGCAAGGTAACCCCTCGAAGCTATTCCAAGGTTATGGTTTTTTTTTTTTTTTGATTCCTGACTGTCGGGTTTCTGTATAATACGGCGGCACACTGAGAGCATCTCCCCGCATCTGCACCACAGCACTTACAAAGAGCATTGCCCGTCAACCCCTGTAGGAACACATGCCCAATCCCAGATTCCTCCATTCGAGAAAAAAAAAATTCTGAATTGATTCGGCAGTTGATTAAAATGTACATCATTACCACGAACATCGCAATAGCAAACATGCTTTCCATCACATTTCCCCTTCCCCCTAGCCCTACGGGGTCTTCGCCTCCACCATCACCCCACCATCAACCTCCATGACTAGCCTCCGCCTCAAAGTAGGCAGAAGCCAACGCTTGCTCAAAAGTACGCCTCGCGTGGGGGCTGTTGACAAAATATCAAATTAGCGAAATTCGCTCCATAAGTTTTCAGGGGAACCACGAGGGATCTTCGCCCGAAGCGAGAGTTAAAAGATACACGTTTCACAAAGGGTCCGCCCAAGGTACGCAATGAAGGAAGGAAACAAGGTAGAAATTGGGCTAAACAAAGGAGGGTTTAGAGCGTTACGCACTATGAGCCCGTCACTAGAGCAATTCGAGGACACACGATGTTTCGGTCCCAAACTGATCCGCCGGAACTGTGCAGGACCAAGAACCCTCCCATCTTGCAATGACATATCATAGCCCAGAAGCCGACATGCTCAAAGCCCCCGGGAGTCTGACCTTCGTTATCCATAAACCGGATAGGGTTTTCGTATTGATGGAAGTTCAGGACTCCGAGAAAGTTCTGCCGGAAGTCCACTAATTGTTGAGTTGCCCGGTCGAGAGGAAATGACTGCTCTCCCTCGGAGAGCACGGGGCAGGTGACAAATGTAGAGACCCATTTTACACAATGCTGGCCAAGGATATCCGCTAGAGCATCCCGGTCTTCGTCTAGTTGTCCTAGGCTTCCGGCCTGCCTCGAACGTATTACCCATGACGGCTGAGGGGGTTTTTGACGGTAGAGCTCAAAGGGACGTTGTCTCTTCGGATTTGCGACAAAAGTCTGAAGTTTCCCCGGACCAGTCATGCGCACAAGTTGTGGCTCGAGCCGAGGAGGTCTCGGGATCTCAATATAAAACTGGTCAAGAATTTGATCGCTTCGTCTCATCTTCCTGTAAGCTTTATAGATCGTCCGGCAAGTACAAATCAAATTGAACAGGTCCCGGGGGTCAGATTCGATGATCTGGTGGCTTTCGAAGAAGTCGTGGAGGTATTGACGCCCCGGCTTCCGAACGGGGGCCCGAGTCTCGAGATATCCAAAGACATGCTGAAAGGCTAACTCGGGGAGCCTCAATATTCCAGCATTGATATTTCCCTTGATTCCGAGTTAATTATGCGTGCCAGCATTCCAAAGCTAGATCGCAGCCAGGAAGGCACTCACCTCCATATATCTGGGGACAGAAGACTTGAGTGGAGTGTTCATCTCTCTTTTCTTGAAGGGGAACCTCAATACCGAAAGGCTGCTTGGGCTGGAGTGAGCTGGCAGACCAAAGGCACTGTGAGGTATTGGTTGGAGCCATGAGTGGGTTTCTATAAGAGAATGCCTAAAGTCACATTATAGACGGAGCCACTCCCTATCCATACCCCTTGGTAACTTCTCGTCGATCAGAAAGAGCCTCCTCCGGCGAGAAGACCCGCTTTGTTGTGTTCGGAGAATTCGGATGCTCGGCCCCTGCTTGTCGCTTCCGCCAATTGGCCACTTGGCTCAGTTGCGCATCCCGGAGCGGGAACTCGCTTTTCGGATGCAGTGAGTCTATTTGGGTTGGTTTCGTTGATTTGTCAATGCGAAGTTCGGCGCAATGATAATCAACATCGCGTTAAGTTGCCAGAAATTCAAAAGGTTAAAAACAAGTAGAGGAAATTCACTCGCACCTCCTCGTTAATGCAAACCAAAAGTGAGGCCCTAAAGGGGTTCAATTGATCATAGGTATCCCGGGCGTTTAGGGTGCTTTAGGTCAAGCGATATGTTTATTATGCGTAACTTCGGCCCGCCCATAGTAAGCAGATATATCGTTTCTGGGGGGGAGCTATTCCTTCCCCCTGGATATTCAGGAGGCTCAAAATATTCCCACGTGGAATTGATGCATGACCATTGCCTTAACGCGACCTGAGCCATGACCACATTCATGGTTGGGGCTTTGCTGCCGCGAGGCACTGGAGGTAAGTGCGGCGCGAGTGCAATATTCCCTGCTTCTGCCTAGTTTCGCGGTTCCGAGAGAATGTGCCATAGCCTTACCTCCCCACGGCTTCTCGCTACTGTAGTCTCGGTGTTTGCGAGTGTCTTGGGATATGGCGTGGGTGTCCCAACCCGCCCTGGCTGATGCTCCCGTCCCCTGCCGTCCGGCATGCAAGGTACTGTGGGGGTCTGAGCCCCAAATCTCATCTATTCCATCATTAGTCAGGCCTCCAACTCTGGCATTTGGAGGAAGAGCATCAACGCTCACCGAATTGAGAAGATATTAACCTCTGGTTCCCGATGCTTCCAGTCAGGATCCGTGAGTATCCCAAACGGTTTTTCCAGGAAAATAAGGGATAGATTGTTGGGATGGATTGACGGGAGAAGTCCACTCATCTGAACGGCTAAGACATTTGTACACTACCCAAGAGGTTGTCGGTAGCATATCAGTGGATCCTGAGAGATGAACAAGTTTAGCCTGTCCTATCAGCAGTTTCCCTCCAACGTCATTCATAACCCCACACCCGTTTGCTCCTGTTCTGTGTACTTATCGAGCTTGGCTGAAATGGCCTCCTTTGGGCCAGCAATAAACTCTCCGCCTACCGTGTTACCTCCCGTGTTTTATAGGCTCGCAGTGTTAGCGATATCTATTCATGGCACTCGTGTGCTGCAGCCGATCTTCACCCCTGATAGTGCATCGGACGAGGAATGAGCCCACTCAAATACCACATCACGGTAGCCGTTCCCAGAGCCCCTACAATTGGTATATCACGAAACATCGATCCAATCCAATACATTGCCCTGCAGCCGGTGTGGTGCTACTGCCCCCAAGGACCTACTTTCTGAAGACAACCTAAATATAAACAGTCATATATTGTATCATAGAGGCATACTACGACTGGTAAAAGGGGTGAGGGTTATAAAATTTGCATCGTGCCTTGGGTGCAGTAAGCACTAGGTCTGCGTCGTTCAAGTGTTAATAGGGGGAGGAGCTTTGCGGGGGAGGCAGAATAAAGGTGGCGTGTAACCTCAGAGGGAGCTCTGTAAGAACGGCTCAGTTTAGGACAGATCACCGAAAGAATGAAAGATCCATCAAAAGGGGAAAAGAGGCTTACCCTATAAAAAATTCAGGGGTTAATTCTCTATCAAGAGACCTAAGAATTAGCGTTCCTGTTCGTCCTCTGCACTATGCCCCAACTGGGCACTGTACCGGTACTCGAGTAAATACCGGTAAGGCCCGGTACAACTTGGCCCTATCATGATGTGCCCCAGGAGATTGGAGACGAGGTGTCTCTAACCCCTTGAGGCCCAAGTGAAACTATGTTACCGGTATTCGGTATTCCCTTATCTCCGGGTGGAAGCGGAGCCCACCGGCACTCGATATTGCTTTTTATTGTGGAGCCGCTGCAGAAGGGAAATAATATTTCAAAAAACCGAGCGCAATGCCCCCACAACGGACTCCCCAAGAAAGATTAGAAAGCCATATCGGCTATCCACCCCCCGCAACAGCCCTACCCTCTATAAAACATATCTTGGGCGACTCAATTCGCCCACGCCACAAGTCCGCACTCACAAAGAGGAGGAACACCTCATGACCAGAGTGATATATTATGACTCAGAGAGCCGACTCCTGATACACCATACTCCTCTGCTGCCTCGCGAGGTATAAGAACAGGTGCACCCAATATTGCAAACCCCCAGACATGACCACGCCAACTTTTATGAATCTGATTAAGATCAAGCATTCCCCACTTCTCCATCCCCCCATTGAATCAGGGTGAGAATCACCCGATAAGCGGAGAGTGCCATTTCCCCCCCGCGAGTAGAATGCATTGACCAAGTGCTGTGTGTTACACATCTCTCTCAAATTATGAGACGAATAGCCCGGTGGGTACCAGCGCCTTACAGACGCGGGCCGGGAAGTCTCCGTCCCAAGCCAACTAAATATAATAATCTTACATAACAAAACATATTGTCCTAAGTCTCGAGCCGGCTGCTGAGTGATATCAGGTATATAATGGAAAAAGCAGATCGAGACTTCGGGGGTCCATAAGCAAACGGCTCAAAAAAAGGAGTATTGTTAAACCCCAGATTCAAATCCGTGATAATATAGCCTTAAGTATTTCCCGGGCCTTTCCTAATAGCCAACTTGATATCTTCCTAGCCCTCCGAGGTTCACTAGATCAGTAGCTTAATGATCCTTGCCATATTCGTTATATTCTTCGTCCAAATGCTATTTGGTTTATATTTGCTATAATCCATAAAGGCGGCTCAGTGAATAGAGGGAGGGCACACACCTTTGGATGATTAACATTTGGGATTATGACTGAGCGGAGTTCCCCCGGGGCGGCCTTCAGAGGGTTCATATAGCCCGTATTCGGTTAATATTTGTATCAATCCAACATCTGTTAGGAAAATTATTTGTGGAACTATTAGAAGCACTTGTAATTATCTTCATCCGAATCAAGGCAAACCATCTCCTCTCTAAAGAGGAGATCCTCTGACAACTGTGATTCTTTCTTCCTCTACTACGGCCATTGTTGGCTTGCAGGCAGCGCTAGAAAGCCGGATGCCGCATACATAAGGCCCATTAGAACATCTAAGTACATGCCAGAAACAATCCCCTCTGAAATAAGATGTGCTTACATAAAGTTCCGGATCCTTTCGGGCAGTAATCCGGAGAGCATCCTTGCTGGAAAAACCTCCTGCTTAAGAAATATTGTGAGATTTAAACTAAAGAAACGAGAGAACTTTTGAAAGTTTAATAGAGTCAATTTGGGAACTCAGGGGAGAGAGAGAGCGGGGGAGGGAGACCTGTCAAATATACTCTAGTATATAAACTAACAATTCGTTTACTAAACATAATGCCAAAATGACGGAGTTCTTCCGGGGGAACGTTAAGCTTCCCTCTAAGTCGAACTAAACTTTCGCCCCTATCCGACTTGACTTTTGATCCAAAATTCCCTAAATAGTAAGCCCCCGGCATAGTAAGCATCCACCACTTATCGGCTCGCTTTTATCAGGCTATGTGGTTCCAAACAGTGGTTCCGACAGCCCTGTAAGTCAGCGTTAGTTGTTCCGGTGTTGGCCCTGTAGGGAAAGATTGTACAGTAGGTGAAAGGGAACTGAGAGGTCTTCCCAAGGGTACTTGTAGGGCGGGGCGGGGCGGGGCTAGACCATGAGTAGCTGAATAAGTCTCATTCAAACATGCAATAGCCGGGCGATCGACAGAGCCAGTTCCCGACAGTTCTCTGAAGGCAGGGTTTTGAGGAAGTGGGAGATGGAGTTACAGTAGAGTAATGATTTGTGGATAGGCCAGACCACTCGTCTGGGTGGTTCCACTTTGATAATACGTAGCTTTAGTCTCTGCCGTATCAGTAATACCTTGCCCAATTTTCAGAGCTTCCAAATGGATTCTCCTTTGACTACCTTAGACTTTCACTCTTGTTCATTCCACTCTTCTCGTCCAACAGGAATACCAGGCAAAGTGCAACGTCGTTGACTCTTTGGTCTCCTTCCCTCATAGATCCCCCCCACAAAATCAGCCATGGGCGAGATAGAGTGGTACGCGGAACGGATCCCGTTCCGGATGACAATTTACAACTGAAGTGAACAGGAATCTGCAAAGGCACTCACTATACGATCGTACATAGACCTCCCCAAAGGTGCAAAATCTCGCTTTTAAATATCATAATGTGCAAAACTATGGTCCAGTCTTTTCCAACAAGAGAACCCGAGACTGCCTTCAAGGCATTTCTCTCTCTCTCCAATTGCACGTCCATTTAACGGGGGTAAGGATGTCTCACTGACAGGAGCCGCTGGCCGTGCCATACAGTACGGTACTGATATAGTGTCACAAAATGCTGAAGACAGACCGCAGCCATGGGTAGAAATTAAGAGGAGCTCTGGCACAAAGATGTGGATTTTTATCCCAGGCCGCAATTGAACCTAGGTCAAAGGCTCTTCCAGTTTCCTGAGTCATCATTTCGCAGTTTTGGTTCAATATTTTTGATTGTAGATATTGGGTCTAAAATTTATATTTGGGAAGCCGACAAGTCCCCAGAAAACCCCCCCCCCCCAAAAAAAAAAAAAAAAAACTACATTTAAACCACCACAGATTTATCCCAGCAATTGGTTATTGACTTTGAGCCCATGGTATACAACACACCACTAATGCCTTAGGCATCCTATCCTATTCATATTTGAGAAGATTTTCGCTCCCAGGACACATGCGATTTGGCAGTCGGTTTCCACACCAATCTTAAAAACAATAGTAAAATAGGACGGCCCAACACCCCACTACCTCCCGCTCTCAATTCCTTACTTTAAGATGATTTTCGCGCTCGAGGTCTCAAAAACTCATAACCCTCGAAACGGCAAACAAGATGACCCTTAAAAACTCGCCTAACAAATAAGTTTAGAATAATACCTAAACTTGGGTCTGATTCCGTTCGCAAACGTACCCAACACTTTCATAAACAATACCCCCATCGCATCATGCGCCTCAGTCTTCGAGATCCACATCGGAGTCTGAATCTTCCTTGTAATTGATGTTCTCTTTTTTCACGTCCCTCATGCTTCTCCGGGTGCCCGGCCTCGGTTGTTTCCTTGCTTTCTCTGGTTGTCGCTTCTCCTTGGCTTTTGGTGACAAATCTACCTTTATTGCCTCGACAACCGCTGGCTTTTTCTGACTACTGCTTGTTGGTGAAATGGTCGGAGGTGGGGCGCCGGGGCTCCCTGCATGGGTCGGTGGAGTGGGGACACGATTAGCCCCGACGGGGCTGGGAGTAAAAAACGAAAATAGCGTTTGCTGCTGCGACTTTTTAACTGGTTGGGCTGCGGCCTTTGCCCTTGAGGCCGAAGCTGAGGCTACGGAAGACGATCTCTCGTTTCCTCTCCCAACAGGCTTTCCCGATCTCCCGTGGGTCCCTGCCCCTCCGCTCTCCCACCACTTGACGCTGCCTTCCCTGAGCCCTGTCATGTGTGAGGTGGGCTTTATGCTCTTTCCCACCGGCCCGCCACTATCCTGGGACCTAGACCTCATCAAACTGAGATCCTGTACTCGAATACAATCCTCTTCCTCAGGGTCACTCATAGTCCGATTTGCTGACCTCAGTGAATATCCTACATCCACGGTTTTCTCCTTCGTCTCTTGTGTCTTGGGTGTCGGGGTTGACCCTCTAGACTCGCTTCTTGTCCTTTTTGACCCCGCCCTCCGTCGCAGGCTTCTCGTTCTCCCAGTGGTTCCTTCTGCAGGGGTTGTTGAGGCTGTTGGTGAGGAGACGACGGCATCACCAGTGGCCACCGCGTCAACACCAAATGAACCAAGGGCGTGCTCAAACGGTCCAATAAGTCTTTGGATGAGGATCTCGCGATTATCCCAGCATGTCCGACACTTGATATCGCGATCTGTGCCAAAATCAAGGCAAGACCTATCGTGACCGCATTCTGAAAGTTGCGGAGCTTGAGTCTCCCCACCTCTTGACCTAAGTCCCGCTGTCATGGCCACTCAAACGACGGGAATTGTAAGCGTGCAGTTATATGATTATTATTTTTGATTTATTTCCCCCCCCCCCCGCCGGTATCTGTCCCGCCCGTAGATGCTGTTGAGCGGCCGCCTCCTATCAATCACTGTATCGTCGTCTCCTGGGACCGGGCTGAAATCACGAAATTCACCGTATGAAAGAAAAATGAAGACGATGAGGAGCTATCCGGATGGCGTGGCTTTCAGAAACGCACTAGAGTTCTCTAGTTAGATATAGAACCCCGCAACGGGAAGCAATGGGCTCTCACATTACTATAGTATTCTCTACCACCCCTTGTCTGAGAACGGCGCGGAGGATGACGGAGGAGGATGAGGGCGACCGGGAGTTTAGATGTTCAGGGAGGAAGGCAAGAAAAGAGTTGCCTTGTCAAGGTTCTCCAACCACCGAATTTATAGGGGATCTCGTGAGTCTTAACTTCCACAAGAAAAGAAAATCTACGCAGCGATAGATAATTGGACACGTCGGAGCTCTTAATTCTTCACATCCCAGAAATATTAAATGTCATTGGGAGCTTCATGTCGCATTCACACGGACATGCGGGGGGGGGGGGTTTCGACACAAGTTTCTCGTTACGACGCAGCTGTGCTCCAGTCAACGCAGCTATCTCATGGATTCTGCAACTTCTTTGGAACGCACAGTCCACAAAGAGGTGGTGACGGGAGTTCAAAACGAATCTCTGGAAAAATAGCAATCAGCGAAGATGCAATTGCAGGGTGCCACGGCAATTCATCCTCTCATCTGGCATCTATTCCCTCTAGCTGGGTTTTGAATGGACAGGCTTAGGGTTAGGTTTGGATTGGCCTCACGACGATCGTTTTTTTTTTCCTTCATTCTCTTTCCCATGGTATCCTCCACCCAACAGTTTATGAAGTCTATTCGATTATTAGAGTATACATTTTTGGGAAATAGTGATCGGCCGGGAGGATGAATAATGGCTGTTCATTTCTCCTCATCCCGTGCGAGTTTCTCCTCCACCGAAGCCACCTTATCTTGCATGGTTTGTTGTTTATCGGTCCTGTGTCAAACAATCAGCAATGCTTGCTCGGGGGGAGGAAGAGATATCAAGCTAACCTGCTTCCGATGCGGATATCAGTGTGCACTCTCGAGATGCCTTGTGTATGGAGCATAGAATGAGCCTGGCCAATCACCCGAGTAACATCCTCCCAGGAGCCCTCTGCGATGCGGAATGCGAATTAACACAAGAACGGCCAGAAATCGCAAACATGATGGTCGGGGGCCCAAAAAAGAAAGCCCCTCCCCTAACAACTAACCGACAGTCGTCCCCGCGCTATGCATATGGTAATTCAGTCCGCTCTTCTTCAAAAGCCGCTGAACATCGGCAACATGCTTCGAAACCGAAGTATCCCCGGTCCCAATCTTTGATACCCTCATCAGTGTCCGCATGTGCCCCCCCCCCCCCAAGAAATTAAGGAATAGAACCTACTGGAATCAAGCAGAAGTCAGCATAAACGGCAACAGGAGTCCCAATGGTCTGCGGGTCCTGGTTCGAAGGGCTCGCCATGTCGGCCGCTGGATCGTGCTATGCGGTCGTTGTCAAGTGAAAGAGAGCTAGCTGGGAGTAGGGAAAGGGGGAAACGTTGAGATGTGATGCGATCTGATAGATATGGTATCTCCACTCCGGAGCTAAATGCGAGGATAGTTCACCTTCCCAAGTTATAATAAACCGAAGTTCACCGATCCACCTCCGAGTAGCAGACAGCGGAAAGGGAAGCCAATATGGCAAGTTATTTGTCTAGTGAACGACATCCCACTCTACAAAATATCATTATTGTATCTACGATGCCGGTGCTTCGTGCCGCACCCGACCGTACCCTCGGCACTTGTTCACACGATAAGCTATCCTGTCCCACCCCCGTCAAAATGAAAATCCGGGGAATGTGGCGCACAGCTCTCCCGCCGCTGAAAACAGTCACAAAATAATGATCTGTGGACCGGTACGTTTCGTGCTTTCCGCCACTCGGGGGGCGCTGCTTCATCATCGGCGTATCGCGGAGGATATCGAGGTTTGGTTGTGATTAAGCTAATCCCCTGCCGGAAGTCATGACACTATCTCCAATGGGAAAGAGCCATCTAAATATCAGTACCTCCGAGCCTTCTACGGTGGGCGGTGGGTTCTGCTCCCGCGACAGGGCACCCGTTCGACAGACCCCCATCGCATCGGCTGCAAAGACCCCCATGTTTTCCGGGAATAAGGGGTCGGCACCCCATCCAGAGGACTGGCGAGAGCGAGAGGCGATAATTCCGCTTTACGGGGTCCCAACGCCCACTGCGGGGGTCTACCCAAGCCACACCCGAAGTGCCAGTACCGTACTTGAGTACAGCTCGACGAACCAGAACACCTCCAACCAAGTAACTTCTGGGGCAGATCCAGATCACCTGCACTCGAGCACGGGCACTGTATGGGCAGGCTACGGCAAATCATCTCCGCCCCTTGCTGCCGGGAGAGACCTTTGCGAAAAAAGGGGAGAAAGACTTGTTGGCACAGAGTGGAGGTTCCGGGAGCGCCTGTACCCGGGCATGGTACTGCGGTGTCCACGCGCCAGAACACATGTGTGATTGTACCGTACAAGCACTGTACTTGTATCGTACAGTACCAGTACAATATCATAGTCAGAGATACGGTATCAAAGAAGTTTCTATCTAGCCATAAATGTGTTGGTCAAGAATTCGAGAGCCCTATTTCTGTAAATATTCGGAATTTCCCGCGAGGGGTCGGGCAGAGAAAGCGGTTCAGAATATGTATGATATGATACTCGCACGGCGCCCGCACCGCAGCCTTGAATGGAACCCGAGGAAAAGGTTTGGGGCGGGGCATATCAGAATAAATTATGTCGATATTTAACAGAAGTGGGCAGCAACGCAGGACTCTGATGTCATACCGGCGCACCACCAGAACCCAACAGACCCTAAGGATCCCCGAATACCTCCTGACCGCAGGAACCTCGCGAAACCTGTTGTGCAATCTTGCCCGGAGGGGAAGGGAGGGAAGGAGATTTCAATTAAGGGAGGGAGGGAGAAAAACTAAATGGTATGATTGTGATGAAGTTTCTCTATTCGACAATAATGTAAATCTTTCCTCCTAGCTTGTACAGTACTATGAGCAGTGAAAATCTTAGCAGCAGGCGGGACCTCGATCGCTGTAATACGCGCAGTACTCGAGTACAGTACGGTACAGTACTCGAGTACCGACATGACTTGTCCTGTCCAGGTTAACGATGGGAAATCTGAGCCTCGCTCGCATTGGGGGGGTTGAAGGGAGAGCGTGTTGATCCGTGGGGCGCTCCAAGTTACAGGGCTACCAATAGGAATAGTTAGGAAGTTCAGCTGAGAGCTAAACACGCTCCTCGCCAGATGTTCTTCTCGAGAGGCAGTGATGGTGGATCATACGATAAGTTAGGTCTCATCACGCATGAAATGGAAATGAAGTGTGGCTGGTGCTTCTCCCACGGGCCACGGCACACTGAACCAGCCAATCCTGTCGCCTCGGGTAAAAACGCCACGTCAGACCACCCGACCGGTACTGCCCCAGACGGGTTCAGGCAGCGAAAGGCCGGGGGGTTAACCGGAGAGACGTATTGCCACGACGGAAGGCGAGATGCCTGGCATGATGCCGTTAGACAGCAAGAATCCTGCTGCTATCTACCCCAAGCCGGACACTGAAGCGTTCCCCAACTCCTGTCTTACCCGTGCGTTTCTCTATCACTCCCAATCGCTTAAAAAAATTCGGCCTGTTCCCTCTCAGTTACCCGTAGGCTGCCCGAAGTATTTGCTGAGGCTTTGTCCCAAGCGCTCCCACCGGGGGGAGCGTGTCGACCGAAGGTATGATATCCTTTCCAGCAGCCCCCACCCCCCGGTCCCTGCCCCCCTCATCACCCCTGGGACGCTCCTACGATCCTCATTTTTCCCCCCCCTTCTTACCGGTATCCGGACGATGCGCCCAGGAACTCACTCTCCCCCCCCCCTGGTGCCGCGTCTGCACGCCGCCGACTATCATTTCTCTGCCAACAGAATCAACTTCACCTCCAAACCCCCCAAATCCAACTTCCCATCAATAAAAGCCCGAAGTGGCGAATGGGCTGACGCGGGTGTCCTTGATATAAGACTATCTGGGCCGGATGCATCCCCCCCCGCTTGCGTATCCCTTTTCCCTTTGATTAAAAAAAGGCGGTAGAATAGTGGAATAGAAAAAGAAAGCAGAAGGAGAAAAATGTCCATGTGAGTTAGCTCGCTCCACTTCCTTCTTCCTTCCCCATGAGAGGGATACGTCAGATGTTGAATAGATGCTGAGTAACGGGACAATAGCTGTCGACGCCATACGCAATGCCGAGGGCGTTAGTGAGCACCTTGGTTCGTCGTTCGGAACCCTTGACCGTCCGCCGAACAGCGAGCAATATCTGTATGCTATAATTCTTACTCCCCCTCGTGACTTAATTAATCTCAAGGGGTCATTTTCTTGCTCCGTCTGCTAACTATTGAATAGTGGATCGTCGTGCAGTGGCTACTCATATAGAAAAGAAATAAATTTGTCGCGGTTGTCCACAAATTCCATGTGTCGGACAGCGCGGCTGCTCCCTAATGGCCAGCCATCTGGAGAGGGCCCCCTTCCAATTCTTAACTCCCCCATGCCCTACTCGAATGTGGGGCGAATAGGGGGGATAAGGAAAGGGAACAAAGAGGATCGTCCACGGTGTTTGGCAAATTCTCGGCCATAGATCCCGAGAACTAGTCATCAGCAACAACGAGAGAAGCCAAGTAGTCTTCTGGGCTGGCTGTGTCCGCCATCCCTGAAGGGGGCGAAGGAAAAGAAAAAGAAAAAGAAAAAGAAAAAGAATGAGAAAAGGTTTCTCGCATTGGATCAGTTTGCCAACATAGAAGGGGTATGGTCTCATAATCTTTCAGGATAATGTTTATTTTTAAAGAAAGAGCGAGAAATAAAAATGCGGTCCAGTATGAAAAAAACCTATCACCGACATCCCCTCCACCTCATGAAAAGTTGAAAACCTCCGGTTCTAGCAACCAATCCCAACGCCAGCGCTGATACACGAAACAGGATACCTGTTTGCGCGAGTACATATACCAAAGGATCGATCGACACCTGAAGGGAATAAAATTATTTGGGTCAACTCAAGCCCACGTGATAAGATCATGGAACTGGACTAGATACCATCGGGGTAAAGGGGGGAGGGGGGAAGTGATAAAAAAGTGACAAAATATAAGATGGTAACAAACCTTCCACCACGCTCAAGAGAAGCCGCTTAGTTCTTGACGCCTTATGGTGATGAGCTCGGCACCTCACTCTGCGTCTCGTCTCGTCATCTCACTCCTTTTCATCCTTCGTTCCTCCATTTCCTTTCCCCAAAGCTCCAGCACCGCCTCTTTCTTCCTATCTCTAACGGCCCGTTCGATTTCGTCCGCAAGTTCCGAAAGGCCTTGATATACTTCTTGTTTTCTTCCTTCCCATTGTTGCTCTTCTTCTTGGTCACCCTCATCCTCCCAGGAGTCCTTCCTTCGCGCCATCTCGTCCTTAAGCGCGAGGGTCAGCTCCCTTGTCAACGCCTCCATTCGGTCGTAGCGGCTCTTCCTCTCCTGTTTGCTTAGTCGTCTCGGAGCTTTCTGGGCCGATTGCCCTCCCGAGGTTGACCTTGAGGCTGTTGAGTTTTTTCTAGAAAGGAAACTGAAAGGAGGAGGAGGATCCATAGGGGGCCAACATGGATCTCAGTTCACAAGCAATTATTTGACAAGAGGGGTTTGAACGGCTTTAAAATAGCAAAATCTCGGGCTTTGATGTGAAAAGACGAGTTCCTAATATTTGCAAACGGATGTTCTTGGAGAAGTTGGACTGGAAGTATGTCAGGTGCTGTTGCCCCAGGTCCGTGGAGGGGAAAGGAGGGGAGAGAGGACGGAGGATGTGGGAGTGAAGGGTTGGTAACAGAGCAAGTCAAGTGCGGGGTGAGCTGACGAATTTCGAACGTGTTCGAACGCCAGAGCAAGATCTGAGTGATTTGTCTCCAAACCTTTACATATCGTCAATCGGGATTTCGACACCACTAGAAGATTCGCGAACCGATACCCAAGGATCGTACAGACGAAGCCCCCCAATTTTTCCGAGAGTCCTGAGGCACCTTTCGCGAGTTTTCAGCCACAACCTAGTGCTGGGTTATCCCCGCCTCTCGCAGCCTTCACCACTACTACTGCTGACCAAACGAAACTGATCCTTTTCCTTTTGTTTGGGAAGCTTCTTTTCCTTATTTGCCACTCTAACCGGGTCATTTTCTCCCTATTTTGCATCTTTTCACCTGTTACTTTTCCTATTAGATACCTAGAAAAGGGTAGTCTGCTGCTATGGAAAAGATTCCACTCAACGGAAGAGATACTTGGGGGGTAGATAGAATGCAAGAAGAAAAGTACAATTTCATGATCTAAAGAAACAATTATGCCATCCTGGATCAACGTTTCGCCGTTACAAATGGCGAGTAGCTAACTCGATAGCGCGGCCCTGAAAACACAATCCAGCCCACCCGCGTGCATGGGTGCGCACAACACTACTGCGCCGCCTAGGTGTCTGGCGAAATTCAAAGCCAAAAGCGTTATCTCGATTAAGCACCGGAATTGGTGGCAAAATATGGCCCTGGGGAAGGTCCGGAAAGGACAACTGTTATGCAGGGTGGGGGGGTGAGGCCTACGTATGCGCAATCCGTTTAGCCAGCTGTTGGACCTTCCAGGGAAGCTCTGACAGCTCATGTGGGAGACGATACCCCGTCTCTCTCTCCGGATTTCCTTGCAAAAAGGAAGAGGACGTGGAACGGACAAGGGGGAGGGGAAATAGACAAAAAAAAAGGGAAATTCCAGGCCCAGTCCCAGCACGAACGAAAGAGCGCGAGATGACACTGCTTGAAAATGGGCTCCCCAACGGTAAAGCGGGAACTTCGCCCCCGATCAGAAAGGTTGACCGGAGGAACCGATCTTAGGCGCCGAGTGAGGTTTCATGACTCCAGGGAAATTCTGGGATGGGAAGTACTGGGAAGGCAGCGAAGCTTTGTTTTTCCAAGGGGACATTATACTGTGGCGCTGCTACACTTCCGAGGCCCTCTCGGACCGGCTGGTTGAGTACGTGATCATCCATCATTTCCTTCCACGGCCCTATAGGCCATTATTGTATCGGATACTAATAGCGAACCAACAATTTCACGCCAGTGTCGACATTTCCCACCTCCTCTTACAGACCGCGGCTGTCGGTGGTACTGTATATATCCCCGATAGGGCACACCCCCACTCGGGGGTGTACAGGCTTATTATTGCCAGCTATCGCACCCTAAGACTGTCGTCCACTTGTGCCTGGTCTGCTCGTCCACCCGTGCCCGGTCTGCCCCCCAAACTGCTGGTACTACTATCTATGCCATTGGCTCCTAAAGGGGAGAGAAACATTCCACACAATAGGCCCACCCCCCACCACCGAACCTCAGGGGTGATAGACTGGACCGGCAGATCGGGCTAGGTCTAATACAAAACTATCAACCCCTTAAGTTCCCACTATCACCATCACCATAATCATCGTAAATAATTTTTCGGAGGCAAAAGCAAAAGCAGTGACAGAGGGCCGGCCACGATCTGGCACGTATCATATTGGCATACCGTATTCAACTCTGCCGGATCATATTGCAATACCGCGCCCACGATGGACCAGACTAAAATTCCTTTTGCAACGTTGTACGTGGATCTTTGGCGCGTGCATGTGGAGTCTTGAACAGAAAAGTTATCTAAAGTCACATTGCGCTTCCCACACGTGACTCTCCTCCCGGGTGCTCCCCGCATGCCGTCCATATCATATCACATCCGTCACAAACACAGACACCTCACACCCACTAATTAGCGTGCCAGCTAAACCAACCCCCTGGTTCCACCACCTCACTGCGCCGTACTACTACAAATAAACCAGATAAGCTACAGATCTCTCGGCAGATCAGCCTATAACAACTCTTACACTACTAACATCCTTTCCCTGCTCTCCCTGTCCACGGGCCGGATTCTTTTCCTAAAAAAAAAAGAAAGAGACCCAAAGGAGGGCAAAAAGAACTCTCCCCGCTTCGGGAAACGGGGTCGGAATATTAGCCATGCTGGCAGTGCTTATTACTGTCATTCAATGGCGTTATTTCGGCGAAATTCGAGCTTGCGCTGAGGGGGAATTAAATTGAAACGGGTCCTGGTAGGGGAGGGAGAATATAAGGAAGGGAGGGCTGCTACCGGTATTGGTACGGTAGTTGTAAAGCTTATCCTGACGTTTAGTATACGAGTAGTTCTTCCGCGGGAAAGGTGACAGAGTGGTGGGGACAGCAAACACTGGGGACAGCGAATGACCCCACCAAATTTGGGCTCTGCCTCTAGGATTTCCGGCATATCGTATTACTCGGCGTCCCCTCCGCCCATTGCCCCCTACCCTCTGTTGTGTACGGTACAGGTAAGACAGTAGGGAGAGGGGGCAGAACTAGTTTCTTCGGAAACGAAAGCTGTTGAACCGAAGGAGTGATAAACCGGGACTTCCTCTACACTGTCATTTGGCCAGAATTGGCGCAGCAACCCACTACAAACTCGTGAAATCTCAATATGTCCAATGCGACAATAATAGCATCCCCCCATACTATATATACCACACCACATCCACCCTGCTCCATGCCCATTTCTGAGACCTGCCCGTCACCAAGTCACCGCGTCTAGAGGTCAGGTAGCGTGACACGGGGTATGTGCGGAATCCGGTTTCCTCAAGTTCCGGTTGGGAAGGCAGTCCGTTACGACAGGTGGCTCGCGCACCCGCTCAGTACGGTAACCAGCGTGCGGTGTGATTAACCAAGGCTGGACGCGGATTAGATATTATAGACAACACGGTACGAACGTTAGCCACGGCCCCGGCACCCGACTTGTACAGTACTGTACGAGTACAGACTTGAAGGGTGGAGCACCTACGGAAGCCTGCTGGCCACTAATAGGGGTATTCCGCGGGCACAAAAAAAAAGTGAAACTCAGCGGGTAGGGTAACTAGCAAAAATAATATCATACCTGTCTGCGATCCCTGTTCATCACGTGCCCCTCTTTGAAGAGCTTGCCTGTCTACGGCAGTGTACCGGTAGGTTGGTGTCATCAGGCTTCCCCCTCCCACCTTACCCGAGCAAGCAAGCCACGGCACTAACCAGGAAACCATTCAAGTCAACGGCGGATGCGGAAGCCATCCTGTAGTCTGATCCAGCCCGAAGCGCCAAATCAAGAGGCGCCACTGGAGTAACTCGTGATGTCATAAGGGAGAAGGGAAGATACCCGCGCCCTACCCACAGTGAGCCACGCTCCGATCCCTACCGAATGTAAGATTGATGGACTTCCATACGGTCAGCGCCCGTGCTTTGTACTGTACTGTACTAGTACTCGTACAGTACTGTACATATCCCCCCTAGGCCGCCTTTACCGGCGCCCCTACTCGCACACCCAAGCTCAGGATTAACACCACCCTCGCCGCCGAAAACGTGCCGTACTTCTACCGTACCCGTTCAACAAGCACAGCGAAGCAAAGTCCTGTAAACCGAATCCGGGATAAAAAGGGAAAAACTCGGGCACGGAGCGGGGGGGAGTCGATGTATCATGTAAACCACCGAGCCTCTAGTGCACAACCTACAACTGTAGGCTTTAGCCAGGGTTCGGGGGTAAGGTAGCTCGGCGTCATGGGTGATCACTCTATTTTTCCATCTATATGTGGAGTGGAGTGCAACTGTAGCTGGCAGGGAAAGCTCTCGATGTTGACATAAAAGTAGGGATTAGAGTAATGTCCCGGGATGAACCGCCTATAGTAAATACTTCAGGAATACTGCATATAGCGCCCCCATGCGGTGCACTTCTCTTACCACCGGCACGGTATCATACGGAGAGTTGGGGGGGGTTGGAGCCTTGTCCCCCTTTTGCCCCCTTTGCCATGCCCTCTCTGATGGCATTTGTTAGCCCCGGGGATGGTCAGATAGTAAGGCGGAGATATCATAAGTGAACCCTTCCGTCGGTGGCTACCGTCGACAACACCTTGAAAGATTATGATAGTAGTATAATAATATCGTATCGAACCTAGGGAATTCTCACCCCGATCAACCCCGACATGACTTATTTCCATCCATTTATCCATTTTTTCCCCCTAAATATCTATAGCACAAAGGGGTAGGTAAGTAAGTAAGTAAGTAAGTAAGTAAGTAAGTAAGTAAGCGAATCTCCCAAACGCAAGAGAGAAGCTAAGTGATATGGTTAAATATACATATACTGGTTTTTCCTTTCTCCCTCGTCTTTCCCAATTATCAGCCCAAACTTACCCATCTGCCGGGAAAGCAAGTACAAAAAATCCAAAGGTCAAGAATAGCCAATTTTGCGGGAAACGGGAACTCTTGCACTCGTGCATTGATTGAGCCTGTTCCCCGGATGGTATAATAGTATGCATGCATCTATGTATGGATTGACAAAGACATGGTAAATCCTCGATTTTTACCCAATGAGGCGAGGGGTCATATGTAGGATACCTCCCCATTGTCATTCCCAGCACTATCGTTTTTTCCACTCCATCTATATCTCAATACGATATAAATTCCGCGAAAAGTCTATAATATTGCATGCGGTCAGGACGTTATATAACACTGACAACGAGCTATACTACTAGTAGAGTAACTTAACATGGTAAACCACCGCAGAGAACTAACAATATAAAATCGTGGAACGAAATGGTTTCACCCGAGAGAAAGCAACCACTCCCCCCCCCCCCCCTGGCACGCACCGATCAAAGATCTTAAACGGGACATTGATGCCCCGCCTATAGAATTGAAAACAGGTTTCCAATCATCCCTGCCGAAGAGGAAGGCATATAGCTGACATCTCCCTTCCCCTCGGCCCTCTAAAGTCCACACCGCCAAGTTCCCACGCGCACAGCTCTTCCCGGACACAAGATGCCCACTCCCTTGGCGTAAAGATACCGGAGCCCGAATATGTCACCACGATCCCCGAAATGCACGATAGTCTCGGGACGGAATATGTATGATACAGTAAGTTGTCATACCCACGAAACCACAAGACCAAAAGAGTCGAAAAAACCCCGACGGGGCGAAACACGAACAAGCAAAACCTCTCCTTCCTTCCTTCCAAAGGCGCGGAGGGAAACGAGTTGCAAATGGCGACCCGGACAATCCGGAACTTTGACAGCCACCAGCGCATACACACGTACCTCGCCACCGACACCTCTAGGGCTCCTCAGGGGAAGTGAAGGGAGAGAGAAAGAAAGAATAGAATAATACATGGCTTTTCCAAGATGTAAATTACTGCCCAAAACCCGCCGCGGATAAGTTTGAAAGCACATTCACCTCCAGACCTGGCACGTTCTCTTTCCGCGCTTCTACATTTCGTGAGGACACCGGGGGGCTTTATCACTGCCTAATACGGTATCGCTCTGTGGTTGGGTCATCGTAGGATGGCTTGGTAGAGTCCGGCTCATTGTGGTTTAATCCCCACCACCACAATAGAGGTGAGTTACGAGTGATTACGCATGACGACAGGTTTTCTCCCCTACGGGAACTTGCCGTGCGAGATAAAGTTCTGCTAGTGCATTTTCCTCATCCAGGGACGACGGGACAACAAGTCATTGAATTCAAAAATACGATTAAAACATCATTTATCCATTACCAACGTAAAAAGGAAAAAAACAATCAGAATCCCTTCATCCCATGCTCCGGCGCCGTGTCATCACAGCGCCCTCCTCTCATCTCTCCGGGGCCTCTGGTAAACTAGTCCTTTCCCGGAGCCTCGCCGGCGACACCACTGCTCATAACCTCATCGATATGATTCGCAACGGCAGGGTAGACATCCATATACGCGTTCTTCCCCATCCAGCAATCCAAATGTCCGCGATTCTCACTGTGCAGAGTCAGCATTCACCACCCCCAAAAATTGCAAAGCGAGAAGGCAACAACTCACAAAACAACCCTCCCAACACCGGCACTCCCAAACTCCTCCCTGAGCAATTCAAAGCTCGTGAGTGTATTCTCCGGTTCGTAAACCGCATTTTTCCCACCCTGCACAAACAGCACCTTCAAGCCCTCCAGCCGCCTTAGTCCGACTCCAGTGATCAGTGAGGCGAACTCGTCATCCATAACGTACCCGCTACTCCCCATGCGCATGAGGTGCATCAAGCAACGCATGTTCGTCCCGCCGAGGAAATTCCCCAAGTTCGCATGCGTAGCTGCGTTCAGCCCACTGTGCGACCACAGCCTGCCAAAGGCCAATTCCGACCGGTGACACACGGCGGAATTGCACATCTCGGCGGTGGAGCCAACGGGGTAGAAGCGGAGCAGCTGATTCATGAGGCGTTGAGATAGAGAGTCTGTGGGTGAGGTCGTGCAGTCAAAGTACTCCCCCACAACTTTCGAGTACACCTTCGGTAGTGGCAGGGGAAGACGCGCTTTCAGCATGTTTGTCTTTGCGAAGCGAGGGGAGATGAACACCTGACTGGCTGTAAGGCCCTTCAGCCAGCTCGCTGGAATGGTCCCGTCGAGGAGGCCAGAACCGAGGGCTACGCTGCCGGCGCAATGCGCGATCACGTACACCTGTGAGGGTGTTTCGCGGCGGATGTGCTCCAGCGCAGCTTTTATGTCTAGGCGCGCGGAGAAGGTGGTATGCGTGGACTTGGCCAGTGGGGTCCGGCCCACGCGGTGCGTTGGAATGTAGATTGTGTGGCCACGGGCGAGGAAGTAGTCCACAGCGTTTGTGGGGATTGTGGGGAGGGCGAAGATCTAAACGCTGTTAAAACGAGTGATGGGGTGTGATTAGGGAAGGGACTACCTGGTGGTCTACCGCTGCACCTGGGATCATGAGGATCGGCGGCAGCCTGTCGTTTACTCCGTTTTGGTTATTCTGGTGTGGGGCGGGTGCGGATTCCGGAGTGTAGACGTGCATGAACGTCTGAACCCCGTCCTGGGCCATCAATGTCACAATCTCGGCTGGTGGCTGCTTCTGGTAATATCCAGTTGTCGTGAGGGTCGGGTACTGGAGCGCTCTGAGTGGGCTAAAGAAGTACCCCGCCGTCTGGCTAGCGAAATACCCGAGAAAGTCCATGGTGGCACCAATCCTTCCCGAGATGGTGCCGCCAGTCTGTCCGAAACTAGCGAGTTCAGATACGAAATTTCTCCACGGGATGGTTAGTACACCTCTTGCTACAACTGTCTTGTCCGGCCTAGTCAGTGTGACATAGAGCGTAGTCGTAGCCTTCCAAGTCTTTGAAGCTGAGAACGCCATATTCGAGTCTATGGCCTTATACCCATTAAAATGCAAGAGCTCCCCATCGGAACTGACCAAGTCAAGCTTATATGCCAGGTTCTTTCCATCAGCAACATCGGTGTCCAAGGAAAAGAATTGCACTTCGCCACGGAGAACCATAAACGGCTCCTTACTCAATGCTCCACACGCAAAAGTTCCAGTTGCAAGCGCGGCGTGATCGGATCGCTCAATAAGATTCTGGGTACTGTAGCTATCGACCGAAAGGAGGAAGCGTGCGGAGGTTGATGACCCCCGAGCAGCGTCGGCCGCGACCTGGAAATCTTCGATGTCATCGCCGATGTATAGATGCCCCTCCATTACCTCTGTGAAGCGGATCCCGCTCTTTCCAGCGGCCGAGGAGATGGCTTGCTGGGCGTTTGCCATATCCCTTGTGAGCGGGAAACTACGCGCCGGAAGCCCGAAAAGGTTCAGACGGGGGTTGCGAGTGGCGTAGTCGATCACGATCTGCCGCTTTGCAGCCACCCCTTCGACACTTCTCTCCGCAAGGGCAGTAATAGTGGCGAAAGGATTGACTCCAAGAGCACAGGGTATCACACTCCCATCAACAACCACAAGTCCGGGATGTACGCCTTCACCCGCACCGGTAAATAGCTCCCCAAGGTGGTTGGTAGCACCATTCCTTCCAGTCCCGTCGCTAGACATATTCGCTCCGCCGATAGGGTGAACCGTAATCTCCTCCTCCCCAAGCAGTGAATAAAAGGGCGAATTAATCAACGTCCCTCCAATCTTCGACGTAGCCTTCGCCAACATCTCGTTCAACTCCTTGACGTGCGCGCTGCGACCAACCCCTAAGAACCTGAGATACGGCTTTCCATTCTCAAGCGTGAGCGTCGCCTCGTTACTGTCATGAGACATGATAAGGTAGATCTGTGTACGATTGACCGATCCACCGGGAGTGTATGGGCCCAACAACCTCGCCTCGGCGCGAGAAAACAAATGTCGCAATTTCTCTGTAAGTCCAAAATTCTCTGGGTACACTTTCCCAGGCATAAGTTCCAACATCCCCTGCAGCAGCTTTGCCAGTGCCTGTGGTGCCGCTCCCTCCTCAAGGACATACCCATCCAAAACATCCGGCATAGTATCACGCATATCAATAACCCCCGTAATGGTCGGTCCGACCGGAGGACTGTTCCCGGAATTCTCCCGTCCGATGGAATTTACCTCGAAATCAGTATTATACCCGAACGAGAGGATATCTCCATTACCACTCATTCCTCGGCCGATCTCGGAACTGGTTTTCAAGCCGTGGTCCCGGCTGCGGAGGAGGATCTCTGTAGTACCCAGTGTTCCGGCGCCAAGGAAGACAAATTCTCGGGCTTTCACCCACATCAGTTCCCTATGAAAGTCCTCGAATTTTGCACGCTTGTCGCCATGCCAGGCGAAGAGAACGAGCCAGGCGCTGTTGCTCGGGTCGCGTTTTACGTACCGGACTTCGCATTCGCAGAAGCTGTGATGATCAGCGAGATTCCTTGACCCGTGGGGGGAGGTGGATTACATTTCTGCCCCCCAATTCCAGGCGTCGGGAAGGTAGTTCATTAATACACTTCCTTTACTCCCGTCATTGACACCCGTGCAGTCTTGGCCAGAGAGTGTCGAAGCACGCATTTCAATCCCCGAACTATTCAAACCGTTCGTAAAAGAGGTAGTCTGGGGCGGACGGTAAAACTGGTCCCTCTGTCCCATCAATTCCGCCTGCTTTTCTAGAACACTCAACTTCTTCAATTGCGGAAAGTCATTCGGATAGGGCACTGGCTGGAGCACACTAGCCGCACGAGAATAGTCTTTTCAAGTCAGTCGAGCGTCACCATATGGCCACAAGCAGGAGCACTCAGAGACGAACATGTATCCAGAGACGCCGGATTAGCAGAAATCTCCCGCGGCCACGCCGGGAGCTGTAGGGTACGCTTATCCGCCGGGAGAAAGATGTTCGCATTGAGAAGAGAGGTCCCACCGAGCCCTGGATTTAATCATAAGAACTGACCGGTAAAGGGGGAAGAGGAGATGAGCGATATACCATTAGCGACAAAAGCATTCTGCCCCTCCCCAAGCACCAGATGGTACAATCCAGTCGGGTCCCCAGCGGTAGCATCAACAACCGGCTCCCCATTCTTCCCTATATTCCCGGAAACATGGACTTCGGGGGTCGCCTGTAGCAGTCCCACTGGATACTCCCCCGCTAAGCCCCACCATCATCAGTTCCCACTCCAACACATTCGCAAGCAGAAGGACACAACATACGCCACCGCTCCCTCCCAAGCTCGAGCACACAAACGCTCTTCCCGGCCCTCGCCATTCGCGAAGCGGCCACGGCACCCCCATACCCACTGCCCACGACCACAACGTCGTATTCAACCCTCATCATGGGCACGGGGCGCGAGATCCGCGGGAATTTAGCATTTTCGACGGCACCAGCGTCAGCCGAGGAGTGGGCGTAGTCGTTCTCCGTGAGGGGGATGCCACCCTTGGTGAATGTTGCGGGGTCAGCTTGGAGGATCTCCTGGGGGAGTGAATGGACTGTTTGATGGGTAGCGGAGGGAACGGAGGACGGCTGCGATGCGGAAGCTGGGAGAGGAGGATGAGGGGGGCCGTTTGGCACGGCGGGGGTCTGTTCAGGGGGTGATTGGGACATGGTTTGGGGTTTGGTTGATCAGGTCCGTTGGATAGGGATGGATGGGGGGGGGGATAATGACGAGCTCAGAAATGAAGGACCGAACGAACACGGTTAAATGGTAGATACGGTACCCTCCAGCACCTAAAAACCCCCTGACCAGAGGATCGCTCATCCATTAAATACCGCCCCGATATCCCAAATAGACCCACTCATACACGGCAAAAGGAAAGAAATAAACAAATGCCCAATAGCTCGACTCATCACTTGTAATACCGGCACCCTTCTCCTCCCTCCTCCTCCTCGGATATCGGTATCATCCCGTGCACGCCATTTGCTCATAACACCCAAACCCACCCCCTTCATTCCCACAGATGCAAGGTCCCACAAATAAATCTGCCCCCTCAGACTTGAGCGGAATTCAACCAACCAATAAATTTAGTTCCTCGTGAAATGAAATCCCCAGCTAAAGCAAGTACCCATACCCACTATCTTAAACTTCTGTAGTCTACAAGTACCCTCCCTCCCCAGTTCTTGCGCGGGCACAGTACCGGTACCGATACTCATACTGTGCTGTAGGGTACCTGTACCCTACTGTACCACTCGAATAACGGGATTTGTCTGACACCACTACCACCACCATCACCACCACCGCCACCAGTGCTGCCTATCTTCAGCCCTACGGCAGCATGACATGTGAAATCATATGAAACAATACCGTTGACAGGAAGCGCTCGCATCACTCCGCCTGCCAAAAGTCTTATCAACTGTACCGGTACTCGTACAAGCCTACCCAGCAGAAATCTGAGCGCAGAGGAAAAGTATCAATACCCGTGAGGTTGGTATCCTGGTGCAGTACCAGCACGAGTACCGTATCTTGTATTGTCCCCCTTTTTTCCCCTTTTTCCAAGTCTCACTTTTCCCTGTTTTCCAGTGAGGCTGAAGCTGTGGTGGTGGTAGTGGTGGTCAGATTGGAGATGGATCACGTTGGGGTTGATGGGTTGATGGGGTTGGGTGGATGGGGGTGGTTGGGTGATTGTGATTGGGTGGATGGTACCGGTATGATAATGTACGAGTACGATCTTGGATTAGTCTACCCATATGGTGCATGCCGACCGAAACCGACCGGGTTACGTTATTGGGTAGTCTATGAAGGACACGCCTGGAGTGCGAGTGCGAGTGGAGAGGGTTGTGGGGAATGGCATGCTTGGCTGAGCATGTGAGGGAGGATTAATAGTACGGCATGTATGACATATGGTGGACGTAAGGGGGAGTGAAGGGGGGGGTTACCGGTATGGTTCCGGACACTGCCAATCGACACCAGTGTTAATTGGCTGTCGCTTACTAATCGGTGATAACCTTCCTAATTGGGTTAGGCTATCTTAAAAAGTAAAATGATCGGCGAAATATATTACCTCATTAGGAATGATACTGCCAAGATATTACCCGATACAGTAATTTTGAATTGTGTTAATTTGGCACCACCCCTACTAAAAATGGAAATCTTTAAGCTGCCCTAGCACAGCAGGCAGTTCATATTTCCTCAAATCCCTCTGTAATTCTTTAGACAACCATCAAGTAAAGCCTTTTACAGAAGCTTTTGTGCTTTTGAACTGTTGTTGTTGACTTAGAGGAGTTTGAAGTTGGTCATATTTGGAGCTCTCTAAGGTGTTGATTGGTAGTGTCCGGAACTATACAAGTACTCGAGCACAGCAAATCCCGTGAAGGCAATACCGATATTGGACGGCTCTCTGCATCCGTTCTGGTCGAGCCTTACTCGTATTAGTCTACATCTCGAGTGCAAAGCTGAGTATCATATAATACATAGAATACGGTAAGTTACCCGAGTAGAGTGTATCAAGAGCCGATATCCAACACCCATCATCCAACAACACCCCCCATACAATATCATACGCTCACCACCACTCTTCATCGAACCTACCATACCGCCCTAACAGAATACTCACACATCATTTGGTGGGCGGACGGGTCCGCATATATATACTCGTATGTATATATATTACCGGTTTACCCCTCTCCCGGACTCGTCAAACCAGACGGTAGACTGCCCGTCCACCATACGCCACGGCGCCCGAACGAGAGTACACGTTTTCACGCCAGATCTAGACCGCCAGATCTAGACCCATTCGCAACTTCATCATCATTATCATCACCATTCACTACGGAACTCCTCTTACATGCAATGAACATCGATGGTAGGTAGGAGTAACTCGGGCATGGCATGTGGGATCCCCATCCCACCCAGTAACTTGGGAACACCTCATAGCTGATACCTCGCCCTCCCGTTGGTCCCGACGCTCCGTTCTCATCAGCCCGAGGGCAGGGGTTAGGCTACTGCGCTGGGGGATCGCCAGCCAGCCAGTCGGACGGGCAGGATTGGCAGAGAGGCATGGAGAGAATGCAGACGTGTTAACGCGACAATATCAACTCAGCAAGGAAAGTGAGGGACTTCACAAGTGGTGCCGCCGCCGCCGCCGCCGCTGTGTCCGGCTATATCCCGCGCGATGGTCCCGTTGCACTCGTACGGTAGTAAGCCAAAATACCGGTATTTGTGCCATTCCGTACTCGTACGCTGATTGTGATGATGAGCGATGGATAGCCAATGATCCACCACCTCAGAGATCGCGCGGGGGGATCGATCTGGAAAGCACAATAGTCTACCGTACCTGTATAATACTGCATCCATACCGGTACTAGTACAATCGTACCATATCATACCCACCTCATTCCACCCGCAGAAACACTGCTGAAAAATAAAAACCTCGGCTATAATCCCGCTCATCCCCGTTTCTCCTGTTGAACGCAACGAAGAACCCCCCCTTCTCATGACTAATAAAACCCGCCACCAGAAACAATAAACCCTAACCCTACCACAGTAAGGGTCAAAGCGTTGCCAGCGCAGCTCGCAGGGGTCAGGCGCGATGGCTGCTCGATGTCACCGTGCAAGGGTGGTGAGGATCAACCGGGGAGGAAGGTGTATCCGATTCGAGAGCCGCAGAGTCGCGGAGCCGCAAAGCCGCAGAGCCGCAGCTGTTCATGGTTGGGGAGGGGCTCCATAGGTGGATAAACGACGGTACGAGAACAGCGGCTAAAAATGCAGAGTACAGGTACCGGTACCGCACAA